TATAGAGTGAATTGTGAGGGTATGGAATAGTAAGTGGTCCGTTCAGAAATGGGGTATGGAATATAAGAGTCTTTAATAAGTGGATTTGACTTGTGCTATTCGTTTGAAAATAAGACATATTTACATATGTATATGTAAAAATATACTTATGTTTGTACAATGTACAGTATTCGTGTGTCTGTTTTTGCTCTTGCACTTTTGTTGTATTTCTCCAACGCACGCGGTGCGGTGCACTCGCATTTTTAATCTCACTTGATCTTCATTTCATCGACGAGCTTTGGCAGCTCTCTCACCCATTCAAAGCATAGCCTACCTGCTGTCTCAATTGTTGCAATTGCCCCTCTCAGAAACAACAACTCTTGCTCCAGCTGCGACGACGACACCTTCGCTCTCTCAGAATTAAGTGCCCTCCATTTAGCTCTCTGCCACTTCCTAGCAACGCTCTTCCTCTTCTTGTTTGTCTCTGTCTCCTATAGATTTTCCATTCAATTAATTAACTTATTTTGTGCTGTTTTTCGGGCTTTTTCAATTGCCTGAGAGCTAATCAGTTAATTGTGCTCCAATTTGAGGTTCCAGGTCACGTAATGTACATAGGTCCTAAAACTGTTTTTGTTGCGTGAGCGGGCTTGGCTTTCTTCTGCTTGAGTTGGCTCGAGCCCATGGCTTTAATTGTTTAAACAATCACAAATCACAAAAATCACGAGAGCGTAAAATTCCGATAAGGCACGCGTCCTGGAGGCACAGACATTTGTCTGTTCTGGGGGTCATAGATTTAGTATGTATTTTCCGCATTAAAATCCCCCCCTACTATGCAATTGTCTGGTCATTGTTTTGGTGCTGACGTCAATCTTTGACTCTTGGGATTGAGCAGATGCTCTGTCAATTCCCGTAAGATCTCTGGCAGTACTCTCCCACGCCTGTCAACGGACGGGGCTGTGTGGGCCTCTCTTCTTTTGCGGTTTGTGTTTCACGTTTAGCTAATTTCTCCACATTAATTTTCTTCCCTCGTTGTTTTGGCCATTTTCTGCGGTCTGCCCGCATTTGTGCTTTCCATCGAATCGAATTGAAAGTGAAAACTGAAAACCTGAAAGTGTGAGTGGAAAATGATTTGCAATCAAACCCCACTTTGATTAAAGCATTCAATTTGATTAGCTCTCTAATGAGGCAGCGCAAGGCGACTGGTGACTGGCGAGTGTCTCGCAGTCGATGGCTGGCTGATGGGCTTATGCAACAATCCTCCTCGCCCCTTGCCACACACCCACAATGTACCCCTGCCCTGCCACACTCTCTCTAGAGGACCCGCACAGTTGTTGTCATTAATTTCAAATTTGTTTCGCCTAAAAAAATAATAATGGAAAAAAGTCAGCAGACCACAAAATGTACTCCCATTTGGGCTTCTGTTTCCCTTTCCATTTTTCAGATGTGCACCACATGAGATTGTTTAGCCCTTTATTTTTCCTGATGTGAATTGAATTTGGAGCAATAAAGAACCTAAGAGTTTTTATACCCGGCACTCGAAGAGTAAGTATTGTATATTGTATTTGTGCACAAAGTATGTAACTCACAGAAGGAAACGTTTCTGACCCCATAAAGTATATATATTCTTGATCAGCATCAATAGCCGAGTCGATTGAGCCATGTCTGTCTGTCCGTCCGTCTGTCCGTCTGTTCGTCCTGATGAGCGCCTAGTACTCAGAGACTATGAGAGCTAGAGCCACCAAATTTTGCATCCAGACTTCTGTATGCTCACACTGTAACAAGTGTATTTAAAAAATGAGCCCCGCCCCTTTCCGCCCTACATATACAATTGAAGATAAAAGAAAACTAAACACGCCATTCCGTAGGGAATGACCATATCTATCAGATCACCATTGGGAATGAAGAAATTATGTTGCAGTGGCTAAACCTTCCCTGTCCCGCAGCTTATATTTGTTTTTTTCACATTCTCTCATTCACACTCTGCTTCTCCTGTGTGCGGCCACTGCAGTGCACTGCCAGTGCCGCGAGTCTGCAGTGTGTGGTTCTAGGGATAGTTTCCTCATGCTCTAGGGAAGGGGGGGGGGGGGGGGGGGGGGGGGGGGGGGGGTCGGAGCTAAAGGAGCGTGTTGGTGTGAGAAGTGTTGTAGATCCAGATGACAGATGAAGAAAAAATGTTGAATTCACAAAACACCGCTAAGGTGCAGATGTAGTACTGAGTGCCGGATATAAAAGTTGTGACGCGTAAGAAGCTCCTCACACGTCCCTTCTCGTTTTTGTTACGAATTATCAATATTTGATGGAGCTCTAATTTTTATTTATTTGTATTATTATTTATTCAGAGCAACAGCTCTTGGCATAGGACGGGTCCTATATTCATATCTACCCATCAATCAATTATAGAGTATCTTTGTTCTTTCCTTTATTTCATCTTCTAAAGAGTATCCCACAGCTCACCTTCTTGTACATAAATTCCACTCTCTTGGTGCCTCTATCCACCACGAATTCCACTTGTTCTGATTAACCCTTTGATGGTAGCACAAATAATTATAAATTAATATGCTGCCAGATGCCTTTTATGCCTCCCGCTCGCTTGCTTCACTCCATTCCTCTTCGATTCTTACGCTTTCCTCCCCTCCAAATTACCAAAAAAAAAACATTTTTGTCTCTCTCTTTTGTTTTTTACTTTATTGTTTGTTTTTGCTGTGTTTTTTGGCTGATAATATAATTGCCACTTTTGTATTTGTTTTAATTATGCCGCTTTTGATGTTTTTTAGCACATACTTTTGTGTAAAATAATGTTGAATATCATTTATAATTTATATCGATTTAATTGTATTAATGGTTTTTTCCAATGATTGTAATTATTTTTTATGAATTTGTGTGGTTATTTATAATGTAATTACTACCTTACTTTTAGCCCTAATTGGTGGCTCTTTTGGCCACTCAATTGAGGTTTTTGGATCAAAAAATTACTGATGATGGATTACTGTCACGACACGTATGGAAAAACGCCTTGAATAATTGCTTAACATGCATTTAATTTTCCACACTTCCACACTTGAAGTGTGGTTAATTTGTCGCTGGTGTTATGGCGTTTGTAGATGTGGAATTTGCATAATTTAGTTGACATCTTTGTTTAAATGAAGCTTGTAACATTTATAGGTATTTATGAATAAATTGTTTTATTTTTTAAAATTTAGTTTAACTTTCTTTAAAGTTGTTGTGGGCTTTGCTTTGCTGCTGGTTTCCAAGAATCGCAAATGGTACGATTTTCACAAATACATCCAATTGCCCATCATAGGAATGACAGCTTAAGATCGGGACAGCCCCATAAACTGTCTAAATAATGTAGAATATGTTGTGAATATTTAAACGATGATATAAAGAAGATGGTTTATGGATAATTTCCAGCGGAGGAACTTAAATCGGGGGAGTTATAGAAAGGATGGCCTGTTTTCCTTCGATTTATTTATATGATGATGAGTACTGAATTTTAAGAACAAATAAGTTCTGAGGATCTTTTCTTAACATTGAAGCAAAGACAAAGATTTGTACTTTAAGACTCTTTCAAGATTTAAGTTGTTTTGAAATGTTTATCCTATACAAAAGGCTCTGATAAACTAGCAGCCATCAATGATCACTTCAAAGTTAATGAAAAATTTAATTCGGATATCTTCTAAAATGTTTTCCTTTAGTTCTATGCACTATACAATTCTTATAAAAAGCTCCATTTGGTTTCGAAAGGAATTTACTTTCTCAAAAGCCCCACCCATAACTCAATCCAGTTTTAACTCTAATTTCTAGACAATTTTGAAAGGCCTCACCACATTGACTTGCTACCGTTTCTTTTGTAGATTCCATTATATATTTTGGCAAACCATTGACACTTCCCTTTCCCATGTGGCCTAAAGAGCGATCAAACCGGCTTTTGGGGGTATCAATGGAGTAGGTTCGTTTCATTCATAGTCTACTTTTGCCAATTTGTCTGTCATTCAAACACTCACGATGTGTTAACATGTAAATTGATAAGTCGACTGAGAACGCAGGCGGCAGGCTTTGCTGGTGGGGGTACACTTAACGATCGACAGCGGATGAAGATGGGAAAATAAAATATAAATAAACCGATTTATATGCGCCCAGTCAATGAATAAACTCTGTAATGATGCCCTGCGAACGGATGAATCCCATCTAGACCCACTGATCAATGAATCTTTCTCGTGTGGTTTTATGTTGGCCATTTCCATGCCCATACCCCTCCTTCTCCCCTCGTTGGGCATCGTCCATTGTCTTTTGTGGCTTTTTGTCGTCAACCTTACACTAAGTTCATTGATAAAACTTGTTGTAGCTGTCGCTTCCTCTTTGTAAGTGATTTTTTTCTCCCTCTCTGTGCGTCTTTCAGCGTTTCTGTCTTTGGCATTTTTTCATTCAAATCCGGTCGGTGGTTGGTCTGGTCTGGTTTGTTGGTCTCTTGGTATTTTGGTCTCTATGTCGGCTGGTCGGTTGGTCGGTCGCTGGGGTCTGCCGTCTGGTGTCGATTTCGCATGTGACTGCCGTGCCCCAGTAATCAGTTCGTGTGGAAGTTGATATCGGAAATGGATTTGAGTAACAACAATGTTTTACTTGATTTTCGATTGAGTTTTTTTCTTGGGTTTAACTTGAAGCTTCTTCAATGGGTTTGTTAATTAAGTTTAAAATATATTTAAGTAGTGAAAAAAGGCGTGAAGGGTAGATGGAATTGAATAAAATAAAATACAACTATAGCCTAAGTTTTAGATGTAAATCTGCAGCTATTATTTCAGAAATGTGGGTAGCTATGCCGCAGAATTGTTTGTCAAATTTATGTTATTTATTACTCGTGTACTTTTTGTATTAAAGAACCATAGAACAATGAGAGCACAGAAATAAGCTGGAATCTATCTTATGCTATTTCCAATAAGAATTTTCCCCACAATTTTTCTATCTATATAATTAACAAATCTTTGACTGATCCTCAAGACACAGTAATGAAAATTCGAAAAAGGTTTTTTGTTGTTGCAATTTTCAAAATTTGCTCATGCTCTGGGGGGATACATAGATTCGATTGTATACATATATGTATATGTATGTGCGTGAATGTTCTGTGTGTGTGTGTGTGTGTGTGTGTGTGCAGACCTCGTTAAGTTTACAATTGTACAGCTTATGTTGCTGCTGTGAACTCTTCAGAGAAGATCCTCAATCCTTAGGCGGGCAATGCCTCGGCAATGCCGTCGGGCGCAATATCATCCAGGCTGCCCGCATAGCCCATCGGATCCAAAAACATTGGCAATAGACTGGGAGCTGGGGCTGGAGCTGGGGCTGGAGCTGGGGCTGGTGCTGGGACTGGATCTGGATCTGGACTGGCCGAGAGGGCAACAAAATTGGCATCCGATTTCTCAGACAGCATCGTGGGCCGTGGCATCATTGGTGCTGCAAGAGGCGGGGCAACTGGCGATGGATTGGGACTCGGTTCTGCCACTGGATTGGGTCTCGGTTCTGCCACTGGATTGGGACTGGGCTCGGCCACGGGATTCGGAGATGGCTCTGGGTTAGGGTCCGCCTTGTGCTTGGGATCAGCCGCTGGATTCGGTTCTGGGGAAGGCGATGGCGCAGGTGCACCATAGACGCTGTGCAGCACCGCAAAGGTACCGACTATCAGAAAAACGGTGGCTATTTTTAGTTAATGAAACAACGTTTGATCAAAGGATATTTATACTTTACCACATACAAAGGCGAAGAACGTAAGGAGTTTCATTTTCTCGCTGAATGAAGAAGTGGCTGCCTGGGGCAGGCTTTTATAGGCAGCCCTGACGAATGGCGCGAATGGTGGCTATAATCAGTTTAATTTTATGACCAGCCATGCTCTGTGATTGGAATAATATTTATATGTTTGTTGTGTCTAATTTTGATAGGAAATAATTGACTAAAATGCGGGTGGAAACGGTTGTAACTTTTGTGACTTTAAATGTTGTTCTAGGGAACCAAATTATTATTTATTTTTTTGGGAAGGATACTTAGCTGATTTTATCTACAGCTGAATTATTTATTAGATATGAGAGTTAGAACTTATTAGATATGAGAGCAGAAGAAGAACATTAAATATATGTATTTATGGCTCTCTGCGGCACTCGCGTTCCTTCGAGTAGTTCCTCCCGCACCCTGACTTGATCATTTCGTTCTCTTTGTACCAAGAGAGAGAACATGGTCCTTTCTCTGCAATTCCCAATGAAGCCACCTCAAATGGAGCTACTTTAATTTGTATTTATTATGCAATATTTAACTTTGCGAGTTCTTAAGTCCTTTAATTAAACTCAACAAATAACAACTTCTGCTGCAATTTTAGTTGCCTTACTCAAAGTTTATTTGATTTAAAAAACAAACTCAAAACATATTAAATTATTCATATAAACCAAAAGGAAACCCGCCACAAATATATCTTTAAATATCTCCAGATATCCTATATGGCGCCTTGTGCTTTGTTGAGGACTCTTTCTCCCATGGAAAGAGAGTAGGCGGCGCTGCAGCATACACCCAGACTTCATTTCCAATCAAACTGAGAAACACAGCTGTAAAAGATGGTATAATATGTCAAAAATTTATATAGCTAAGAAATCTTCACTTCAGGAGGTGGACTCACCCATAACTCCGATGAGCAGCGGCCAGTGCATATTGCTGGCACAGTTTCAGTACATCAAATGCGAGTTGCACTTCACTCGATGGATACTTTATAACGCACTTTCATGGCCATAGCTAGAGCCCCCCATAATGAAGAGTTGGCACTATAAAATCAATTTACAACACATCACAGCATCGACTGGTCATAAAAAGCAAATTTATTGATCGTTACAATTGCCACAGAGTGCATAAACATAGGAAAAGTTCTTAGACACTTTGATTGGACAGAGAAATACTGGACACAAAACCGTGTTCTGAGAGTGGAGTACTTGAAGTGAGAGGTGACTCTGGCTGGAGGTCTTGCTGGAAGTCTTTATGGAATGAAAGTCAACGTCTAAGGAGAAGATACAGTTATAAGTTTGCAGTACGATGATTTTAGTAATGGAATACTAAGTGCAATTCTTGCAACTACGAGTCTAGAAAAGATGGGAATTTATGTAGTTCAAAGCTTTTCGATTGTGTCATTTATTTTAGTTGCAGCTGTTGCTTAAGGAACATATTTCTACCGTAATTTTCATTGAGATAAACAAATACATTTCCCATTCCATAAAGCAAACTTCTCCGCATTTTTCCGCTTGATTTCCCAATCGTTTATATAACACTGAGAGTAAATAAATTACTTAAGCCAGCAGACCAAATGGGAATTCCATGCTTTTTTCCTTATAAAACCACTGCAAACTTCCTTCCCCACGAGCTGTCCAGCAAAGATGGGTTCGATACGGAAACATCTACTAACATTGGGGATCTGTAAGTGTAGATCAAAGATCTTTTAAAGACACTTCCTGGCATACATAAGTGAATCTTTTTCTAGGCCTCTGGCTGTTGGCCGACATTAAGCCGATCTCTGGTTTTCCCTCAAAGAAAAATAATTTATTTGGTCAGTGTGACACAGAGCCAAGGCCACGTCTTACGGTGATACAGCCGGGGCCAAATGGCGAACTGCAGCTCCAGGGCGGTATCATGGGACTCTATATGAACGTGCACCAGAGTCCATCGAACCATGGTCCCACGCCTAAGGATTCGCTTAAGCAAATGCACGTCTGTCCGCACTCTGAGCAGAAGTCCAATGAAGATCTATCTGTACACTATGTAAAGGTCACAGCATTTATACCGGTGAATATAAAGCCGATTCAAAACTGTGGACATAATGCGGTAGAACCACCTCCGACGCCTCCACGGCCTTCACCGTCTCCGCAACCTGATCAACCGCTACCGCTGCCACCGCCGCCACCGCCTCAGCCTTCACCGCCACCACCGCCACCACCGCCACCGCCTCGTCCTCTTCCTTCTCGATTCGTTAAGCCACCTTGTCCACATCTACCGCCTCCGCCACCCCCTAAGCCTACTGCTCAACCGGAAATCAATTTGAAAGGCTGTGTTGCGGATTGTCCGTAGTTCGTAGAGCTTCTCCAATAACCTAGAAATAGTTACGGAAATAAATATAACAGAGATCACTCCGTAGAAAACGTTAATTACAAGTTAATCTGTTAAGATGCTCATCTGTCATAAGAAAATTGCTATTTTAAAGTAAACTTTCCAATAACTTAGTGTTCAGGATTATCCAGTTGCTCAGGTTTGGCTTCTTGGTAAGTTTTGTCATGCGATTCTGGATGCTGCCACGTTTTCTCCTTGTTAATTCTTAAAATGAGCATTTCACGAAGATTTGTTGATATTTTAGAGCATTTTGGCATGGAAATTCATGAAAATTATAACTCGCAATTTTTAGAGTTTTAATAGGCTAAGGAACATTATTTCCACAGTATATTATTGGAACCTTGCAGCACTTGGGGGTGGCCATTTCTCAAACACAGCGCTGTCCTTTTTCACAATTGGATGGCAAGAATTAGGTTGGACTCCAGCCAGCAGCCAGATATCTATAATCATAGATTCAATTATGCCTGCCAGAAAGTATCTATATAGTTGCTGCAGCTACTTACAGATTCCCAACAGTACAAGTTTCCGCATCGAAATACACATTTCTGGACTGTACTTAGAGGCAGGCTGTCAGACAGAATTTTACATGTCAAAAAGCATGCAACTAACATTGGTTCTGGTGGACTATACTCGGTCTTATATATACGATAACAAATCGGCTGTGCAATTTTCCAACTAATGCATTTCGATCCCTTCAAATTGCATAATTGATATATTTTTGCCCTATGTTTTGGAGAGCCCTTAATATGATTTGAAAAGTTCTTAGAGCTTAAGCCTTGTGTTTTATAGGGCATTTATGAGTTTTACAGCCAGTATCCAGCCCACCCCTCCAGTGTCTTGGCTGCACCCAAAACAAATAACTTTACGAACATTTGAAAGTTTTCTTAGTTGTGCAGAGTTCTAGAGTTTCAAAGTTTTCTTCAAACCGTGGCACCCCACATTAGACATTAATATGCGGCATGGCATACATTCTGGAATGGAAATGCAAATGGAAATGGAAATTTGTGTGTTGCCTGTTGGGCAGTGTAAATGACTTGTAAATGATGCCGTTTATGGTCAGCGGGAGGCACCCAATGGATTGACACACATATCACCCATTGAATATCGTTGATAGGTAGACCCGAAGTATCTCATGTTGTAACCGAATTACAGCTAAAGATACAGATTTCACAGCATCAGCACTTAAATGGGAATTAACATAATTGGAGGCACAAATCGGTTTTTAAATTGAGGCTCATTTACGGTTTCAAACGGAATTAAATGGGGAAAATGGAAAATAAATATAGTTTTGCAATAAAAAAAAAGGGGGATGTATGTATGTATGTATTTTTATGTACTATCAAAGAACATGCAGCCCCGTTATTAAAAAGTGCCTTTCAGAGAAGAAATTCCTTTAAGACACATCCATTTCCTTTGCTGCGCGACAATTTTTTGTACCTGAGCGATATTTAATGTTGATTTATTATATGCAATCCGTGAGATACAATTGCTTGCAGCACTCGTTGCGTGTGTGCCTCGAATGCGATTGAAAATTGAAAGCTAACCGACTGAGCAAACATTAGCTGAACGCTGAACGCTGAACGTTGAACGTTGAAAGTGAAATTCGCGCCATAAGCATCAACGCAACTTTAAAGGCACTTATTAAAAACGTTCTTGGCCCGAACATCAGCCTCATAATTAACTAGCGAAAACCGAAAACGTTTCGCACAATAAATCATCCAGCATTAATATATCATTTTAATTATGTAAACCGCTCAGACAGACGGCGAATAAAACAACAGAAAAATACCGAAAACAAAATTCAGAATTGCTCAGAAAAAAATATGAGCAAAAGCGCAGAACGAAGCAAAATAAAAATAGATGATACATATTTAATGTTGCACATCTCGCTGGAGGATGAGGCAACTTCCCCAAGAAAGAGTCTGGATAAAGCGATATTTTATTTCTGGGGAATAACTGAAAGACAATAAAGAAAGATTTATGTTGGACTTCTGCAGGAGTAGAAGTAGCTAAAGTGTAAGATAAATCTGTACAAAATCGTTAAAAAAACCATAATATCTGCTAAAATATTTACACAAATATCTGCTAAAATATTTACACAAATATCTGCTCAAATATCTGCTTAAATATCTTCCAAAATATCTGCTAAAAATCTATATATGTCTTAAATTTTCTCTTTCGTAAATTAAAATCTAAAGCGCACTTTAAAATCCCAAATCTCCTCCGACATAAGCTCTAAAAATCGCTTAAGCTTATCATAATTCCTGGCAGCACGAAATTCGTTATAAATCAAATTAAATTTCGACACCACACAAGCTCCTAAAATATTCTATGGAAATGAAACCATAAACTGCCAAAAAAGCATTAAATGCAAATTCCAAATTCGCAGTAAAACATTTGCCGATGCCACCACAAAGAAGCGCCCAAACTTTGGGGCTACCGTCCGTCGATGAGTTATGAAGGCCAAATGCTGTTTGTTGGAGCCTTGGAACGCCTTTCCGCTTGACCTGGCCAAGAAAGGCAAAATACCCTGACCAACACCTGACGACAGGCGGATGACAGCGGATATGACCAAGACGTTGTCTCCCTTCTGCTCGCGTCTGTTCAGCTCTGATCTGATCTGCCACCTGTTGCCAATCAGCTGCTTTCCAAGTTTTGCTTAAAGTTTGGTTCCCTTTTTTTGTGTTGTATTTTGGTTTTGGCTTTAATAAGGCAGGGGTTGGGGGCTGCAGCTCGTGGCACTTGCCGCCACCTGAGCAGCAGACGCCGTAATCGGAAGTCCTTGTTTATGACATGGATACGGCACCAAGGAACATAAAGCCAGCGGTCATACGATATCAGCTGCCAGCTGGCTCTTGCTTTTTGATCCTCGGATAAGGTCAGTGGCCATAAATCGATGTGGAAGCCAGATGATCGTTTATCGGAGAGCGTACTCCCGCAAAGTGGATTGCTCCATCATCTCCCAATCATGTCTAATGCCATTTATTCATATCTAATGCATCTAAAGCACCTCTAAGAGGCATGCCACATGGCATGGGAGAGCGGTGGAGGCTGGGGCCACTCAAAATGTGGATAGAATTGTTATGGTTTTTGTTGAATCTGAGAGTGCCGGGCTCTTGATTGATTGCCTCAATTGTAGTTCAAGTCTGCTGTTGCTGCTTCTGCTTCGCTTTTTTTGCTTCTTTTTTTTTAATCTTTTTTGTTTGATTTACAGCTACTATTTATAGGAAATGTGCAGAGCACGCAAAAAACAAGGTATTTGCGAGGGGAAGTCGGCATCGCATCCCACTTGACAGACGCCGCTGCCATCCGGAGAGCGGCAGCAGCGGCAGATGCAAGATGACGAAAGGCAGCAGAGGCAGAGGAATCAGTAGCAGAGGCAGAAGCAGCGTCTGAGGCAAGTGCACCTCTTCTATATACAGTGCCCCAACAATTTTGTTTACAATTGGAGCACGTCTGTTTTGGATGCGGCAGCTGCTGACCAACGGAACGGTTGCTGCCCATTAACTTGCAGCCGTCGAAAGCGTCGAGTCTGCAATTACAACATGATATACATATGTACACAGCAGAAGTATATACGTATATAAATCTACAAACATATAAATATATATACAGAATGAAGTTCTGTAACTGGAGCATGCTTTCGTCTACAGCTCCCATCTCGAGGTAACATAACACCCCGCTTCTGGGAGGGTGAGAAAGAGAGGGGGAGAGAGCACCCGCCCGTGAGGAGTCAAAGTCCCGTACTAGTGGGTTCTCTGTGTACTTTTCACACGCTCATGTGAAAAGCGTGCTATGATACCATTTTCATTTCCACACCCATTCTAGACAAATATTTAACTGTTCGACAAAGGAATGCCATGCTAATAGGAGTGTGTTTGTTGGCTTCCCAACATCGAGAACGACATGTTACAATTTTGAATACCCTGGAAAGGGTTTCTTTTTTATAGACCAGCAGGGAGATCTGAGCACAGAATGTACTGCCAGTAAATGAAGCTTGCAATGGATGCAAACATGTTGATCGATGCGATTCATTTAATGATTTAAATGGGGAAAGATATGAATATAAACTTGTAGCGAAGGTTTCTGCATTGTTTTCGATCGATCTTAAGGCATTTTTTAGGCTGACCTGTGCACTTACTGTCCATAAGGACTGTTTAAGCCTCGTTACAAATTTGTGGTTGATTGAACTGATCACGAACTATTCACATATTAATCCTCTTTTTAATCGAGAACCATTAACAGTCTGTAAGAACTGAGATTTCAAAGGACAACAATGGAAGTTGGAAGAAATTTGCACATTAAAAAAAAATGTCTAAATGGATTTCATACAGAGTGAAGAGTGAAATATCTTTGAAAATCTCCATAATCAATGCAGAACCTTACTGTAATGATCCTCTCCCTTCATTAAATGGTATTTAAACTTCGTTACTCTTCTCTTTTTTCTCTATTTTTCTCTCACAGTTCTTCTTGTTCGATGACCTCCTAATTAATGCCTGATTCATGAATTCTTAATTGCCATACCCTGGGCTAGTTGCATAAGAGGCTGCCATCGTCTAACATCAACATCAGCATCCACTATGCCGTGTTTCAGGCTAATTAAATCAAAACTCAATCGTAGGCCAGCAAACCGATTTGGTTCCGCATTTTTCGCACAAAGTTTTTCACAACTTTCCGAATCTAACCGTCCAACCGTCAGAGCCATCGCCAGCGCCACTCGTCATCTCCATCTATCAAAGATCTAATGAAGCTGAGACATGGCCCATCATTCGTTTTTTTTGCCATTTCCTTATATTTCGCAAATTATTGGAACCACAAAAGTTTCGGTTTTATCTCGTGGGTTTTTTGTGGATGTTTGTGGAGTTTCTGGTTCGTTGATGATAATTTCACTTTCGTTAATAATTATTTGGACTCTTTGACTCTGTCATAATTAATTTTGATCTCTTTTTTGTTTTTTTGCTTATGTTGTTTGTTTTATTTTAGTTAAATAAATCATGCCAGAAAACAGCAGCAGACGGAGGGGGCAAAAATTATGACAATGTCTGGGATGAATTCGAAAATTACGTTTGACTTTTTGACTTTCTTTTCGCTTCGTTGGCTTTTGTGTGTAAGTGTGCGAGTGTGTGGCCAAAGCTAAGGGCAGGGGTTTATTACATTTGCTTTTAATAGCAAGTCCAAGTTACGAGCTGAGCCGTATAAGTCTTTAACCCATAAATGGCCAGAAACGTGCTCATCATAAATGTTCAAGTAAGTTCTAGCTATTGAGTTATGGTAATTTTTTGTTGGTAGCTCGTACTTGGGCTTCTCTGTGGGGCTTATAAATTGTTTTAAAAAATCTAAGGTGAAAATTTATTAGCCCAGCAGTATCATTTACCGTCAAGAAATTTAATATGTGTTTTTAATGTTTATTTTGGTCATGTACGTCTTTAGGGGTACTTTTTTTTCAATGACAATGTTGCTTAAAATTGAATTTATAAATAAAACAGAGAATTTATGAAACGTTATGGCTATGTACAGTGTCATACTCTGCAGTCAGCTAATTTTGATTTTTTATTTAGGCTTCGTTTCACTTAATCAACAGAGTTTTGCCCCCCTGTTTCTGTGTTCTCGAACTCTCTGTCTGCCTCGCCCTTTCAACTTTGAGCACCATCCAAGCCCATCCGGCGTCACTCAACTGAGTCTTGCTTGTTGTTCTTTCTAGCCTATCCTCGGTAACCAATTTTCCTATGCGTGGAAAGCCCACATGCCGGTCAAAATCGAATGGGAAACTAGTTTTCCGCCACACAATCGCCCAAGAACGCCCACTGTACGAAGAGCACAGGCACCGCTCAAACATTGAGCGCATGCGTGACAACCCACACAAATGTACGAAGAGAGCGACTGCACACCTACGCATGGGAGAGCGTAAGTCTGACAGATAGTGAGAGCAAGTGCAGCAGAGAGAGAGACAGCAGGGAGACCTTTAGTCAGAGAGAGAGCGCGCTAGTCAGCCCTTGAGTTAGCCCGATCTGCTCCCTCTCCCATGCCATGTGCCGCTCTCAGCTATAGCTGAATGCAGTGTATGTGCATGTGAAGTGAGGCAAACTCACCGCCTCTAGCAAGACCATATATTGTGAGTGAGCTCTGCCTCACCTCTCGCCAATAGACCTTTGAGTGCTTGTTGAGTCTGGAACAGGTTAGACCTCGCTGCCGCTAGCCGCTGACACTCAAATCACTCCAAAACATTGCCGAGTGCGGTTCGTTTTTTCTGTCGTTGGTGTTTCTGTTGGTGTTGGTGTTATCATCTAGCGGTGCCGCTGCACTTACTTAGCGGTACATCAGAAGCTTATCAAAACTGCACGCGAAACTGAAAGTGTACGAAATCGAATTTTTGGGCAAAAAGTACTACGAGTATTACGGAATCAAAACTGTGACTAAAAGGGCATATATCGAAAAAATCACTGCACCTGTTTCCTGTACATCTGTTCGACAGTTTGTCGCTCCCTTCTCAAGTGTCGGCTCCCCTAACGCGTACTCGTACCCCATGCGGCACGTACGCACCTTTGGCTATGGCTACGCATAAAAATGCGGCGTGTATGTAAAACAAAGTGAAGTGCGCGCTGATAACTTAATGCAAACCGAAGGGCCATAAAAAAGCAACATAAAGTTAGTGGAGACGGACGGCCTTGTGCTTTGTGGACTTGTTCTTCTGCGTTTTTCTTCGTGATCATCCATCAAAGTCAGAAATCTTGGGATTACACACCATACCATACCATACCATACCACTATTTGGATATAAAACTCTCTCTCAACCGCTCTCAAGGTAAGCCTAAGTTCTTTTTTGCAGATCAATCAAATTCAACCCAGTTTTCGATTGGGATTATCTATGTGGTTCAATACTCACACTCTTCCTGTAGAAAGTGGGGATCGGTTGATGAACTTGTTTTTCTGCCGATTCTGATCTGGTTTGTTTAGTTTTCTTTTCGTTTTGGCGAAAGTCTAGAATTTTCACCAAATCACCAATCGATTTTTCAATCATTATTAAAGTCCACATCTCGCACACTAGAGTTTATTGAACCTCGGGAGTCGTCTCGTCTGTTTCTGCCACAACGGTTCCCACTTGGCACTTGGCAACTCATTTCCGTTTCCCCACCAGTAAAGATCATCTTGTGGCGATTATAATGCAAATCTTCGCAATGCCCATGTCATTGTCCGGTTCTTTGTGTCTGCGGAAAAATCTGCAACTGAACAACAATTAATTTTTCAACATTTTTATGCAAATATTTCATGGCAAAGGCCCCTCAGGGGGCCACACAAACACAAAAGACCTTCCCAACTATTTACAAAAAATGCATAATACATTTTGTATGTAAATCCACGCAGTCAAGAGAGCCAGCCAAGCCACTCTTAATTAGTCAGGGAGTTTCGTTTTGTTAAATGATTATAAATGACATAAAGTTGGGGTATTTGAATTAGCTGCATATGATGGATATCTCGGCTGAGAAAAACCCATTTCCATTGTCTTTGAATGCATATTCGATAGCTAACAAGTTCACATGGTTGTGCATGATTATTTTGATTGGTATTTCAATATTTTACCCATTGCTTCATGTTTTTCCAGTGCCTCCATTAGGATTAGGAATACCTAAAAATGCTTATCCCTTTCGTTTCTTTAACCCCCTCTGATGCTCAATTTTTTGACTACCATCGAATGTTTGTTTTAGAACTTCTGTAGTTCGCATCGCCATGCCATTACTCATTTCGAAAGACAGAAATTCAATCACACAGTTGAGATCTTTGGCTAATTAACGCAAATTAGTACAAGCAAATTTCAAGACACAAACAAATTATAAACGCTGAGAAAAAATGAACATTTTCCTTAGCAAACAAAAAAAAAGCAAAGTCAAGACCAGTCCAGTCTCGTATTCAAATGAAGCTCTCAGCTCCCGGCGCTGGCAGTAGCTCGTCGTCTTGTCGTCATAATAAGTGACTCGGTGAAAATTCCCCAATGTCCCCAAAGCAGTTTTCAGTTACCAGCCCCCGACTTGCTGTGGCTTTTCACTTCACTTTCAGTTAATTTTCTTCTGTGTGTGGAGTTCAGGGAACCCAAACCGTTGGATATTGAATTAATTTCCTGTCTCTGCTGGCCAGGCGAGTGTGTGAGAGTTTTTTTCGTGCGAGTCCCGAGTCCCGAGTCTCATGAGTGGACAAATGCCAGGCACGTATCCTCACTGCACGGGCATTAACAATTTGTACAACTTATTTTCATTGTTTGCTTCTATTTGGCTAATTAAAAATCAGGAAATGCACGAGAACAATGCATAGGGAAGGAAGGGTCTGAGACTCAGTAGGGTGCCACAGCACCCTATGTACGTGAGAGATTCGCTCTGGATTCACCTCCTACCTGCCGCTGCTGCTGCTGCTGCTGCTGCTCGTGCGCTACTGTCAAGTGCGGTTTGCTTTTGGCTTAGCGCCTATTCTCTCCAAGGATCGTAACAGGTAGAGAGATGATCGTCGTCATTGGGAGCTACGTGCTGCTGCATGGAAGGATATTCGCCTCATTTGATAATTTGATATTGCACCCACGTTTTGGCCCAAAAAGGCGTTTTAAAAAGGGAAGTAGTGCATTGATGGATGAGCAGAGGGCGAGAGGAAGTCTCTGATAGTTTCTGCAGTGTGTGGTCTGCTGCTGCCCATCATTTATCTTTCGCTGGAGATCTAGCTGAGGCTTTGCTTATAACTCAATTCGTACTAAATGCTGTCCATGTTGCTGGAAACTTGCACGAATGAAGATGTCTCTAGATATGATCTCTGTGGAGTGTGTGGAGTTTAACAAACAAGTTTTCTGCTACTAGAAGAATTCCAATGAAAGGATTGTGGTGGCGCAGCTCTATGATCAATCCGTAAACGTTTTTTGTCGTATAATTTGCGGTTAATGGTATGCATGGGGGGTGGGCGCTTTATAGCTTCAGGAAGTTGTACCATTTCCATATACAGTTATGCCTATTGGATCATATAAACAGAAGGTCTATTGTCTTTCAAATGAAACAGAGGCACACCCACATGGGGACACACATATGCCAAAACGAAAGACAATTGAATCAGAAATTGCCATACAAATTGTGCCACCCGGATTTTTGTTTCCATGAATTTGTATCTCTTTCTGTATCTGTATCTTTTAGTAACTCTGCCCCACTCCCTGGCCCAGTTGTCACTCGTGTCATAAGCAAATTTTCAAATCGATTTGCAATTCAATGAGCGCGACGACCAGCGACTGCCACTGAGTTTGTATCAAAAGTATTCCGAAATTCAATTGAATTCAAGTCTCAAGTCTGGGGGTTTTCGTACCTCGTTTACCATTTCATGCTAACTTGGCTGAATTACACAGAAAAACACACTTAGTCAGCGCCTTTAAAAGCCACCGTCAAAAATATAATATATGTGCAGGGTACAGGTGTTGGGGGGAAGGGTATATATTTTATTATAAATTATGGCTCCAAAATGTCAGCAAAAATTGGAAGCTTGACTCGCTCTGTCTCTCAGTCCGGTTCGACTCTGTTGCTGTTTTTGTCGACAGTTGGTTTTTTGTTAACAATTAATTAACAGAAAGGCTAAGTACACAAAATCTGTTAACGGTTTATTTGATTGCGAGGCTTTGAAGTGCGAGTGGGCCACCCCATAAAACAATTATAGAGCCACCGGGTTTCTCCTCAAGTGTGTGAAGGTGCCTTCTCTCTATACAGAGAGAACGATTAGACTTGGTGGAATTTGTGTTAAGTGATTCGGTATTGAATTTGCTTCTAGGGAAATCTACTATTAGTCATCGAACGGGGAGGGGGGAAATTTGCAAATCGAATTTAAGATGAGTTAAGCGGAATTTAAACAGGTGGAAGAGGAATGTGAATAGTCGGAAGAGGAATGTGAATATTTAAAAGAGGAATTTGAATACTTGTAAGTGGAATTTAAATAGTTGGAAAAGGTATTTCAATAGAAGTTGGCTAACTACATGTTCGATTGTTGTTTTTGCAATGAAAGCAATGCAAGTTTCAATGCCCTACTCTTCATATTTGCTACAAAATATCTACCTTAAGGTAGTTCCCTCCATTTTTCTCCTACAGCAAAGACCTCTAAGTGTTCCTCAAACTAAAGCTAATACACCCATTAGCCATAGCTTTGAGGGCTTTATCTGCATGCAGTCTTAGTGCTGCTGTGTTTTATGGTCCATCAAGGTTTTATCTTGAACTTTCTTCTGTCACAGATGATCTTGTGCCCTTTTGCTTTTCTTCCACACGTTTCCCTCACTCTGCTCATTCATTAGGGTCAGCAGCAGCTTTTGAGTAGCTTCTGACTTGAGGTTAACCTTTCATTTGTGCTGGCCTAGAGGCCTCGTAAAACTTTCGTTTACCTGCTAAATGTATCTCACAGTTTCACGACTTATCACAATGGGAAAAAATCATTGCCTTAAGATTTACTTTCTATCACGTGCCCTCTGTCTCTCTTTCCACCCACACCCCACAGAGAGGAGGCAAGAAATTCTCACGCCCTGGCAAAAGTTCGTATCTCTTTTGCAGGGGTTCTGGCTGTGGCTGCGCCTGTTCCTGTGGATGCATGCCGCCCATAGCAACGAAACCACAAAATGCAACCGCAAGTGGTTTCTGTGCTTGTTGTGTTTCTCAGGTCTCTCGCTCTCTGTCCTGGGATCCCTGGGACAGGAATTTGCTGGCAGAGAGCCTTGGACAGGGCAGTGTCGAGTCCGCTCCGCTTAATGCACTGTGGGAATGCGGAATGTTGGGGCTAAAAGTTGATTGACTTACTTTTTGTTGCCACGTCTCTTTGCCCTGCCGTCTTGCGAGTAGTTCTTCTGTGGACAACTTGGGGATTCATTAACTGGAAAACTGCAACTTTTACTTGCCCCTTTACTTGTCCTGCCCCGCCCTTGTCTCTCTGCCTTCCTGCATTCGTTACCTGTCGTAATCGATATGCGTGTAACACCCGTTTTGTAGGTAGCTCTTCAAAGGCCGGAAACTCTACAGTTTAAAGCCAAACAACGAGAGACAACAAAATAAGAGCTTGGAACCCACTTTGGAGCTCTATTTGAGCGTGATTAATTCTCTGCACATCAGTCAGTGCCACTGCCAATGTCAGCCGACTAAATGCAACACTTGGCACATCAGGAGGCATTTCAGGGGATGCTAGCAGCCAAAAAAAGAACACAAAAAAAAGCAAAGGGAGAACTCTTTACAAAATTGCACTCGTTTTTTTCTTTGCTGTGTCCCTTCTTTTGACAAATTAACCAACTTAAAAGCTGTTACTGCCGCTGCATCTACAGACAGGGCCACTGCCACTGCCGTTGGGCTGCCAAGTGACAAGTTGACGTCTTTCTTGGCACATCATATACTCCACTGCAGCAGAGCGGGGGCACAGAGTTGGGGCAAGGGTCTGGTCTGTCCGCCTGCCAGCAGGAAGCTCCTCCACTTCTCCCAGGCGACTTAATTGTGCGTTTGCAAATTTGTGTGAGAAGCGCTTGAGGAGGAGCTGTAGCTGTCCTTTTATTCTTTTTCGTTTCTCTTGGTCAGTATTTTTTGCTGGCAGTTGGCTTTTTGGCAGTTTTCAGAGTTGTGATTGGTGCTCCCCAGTGGGAGTAATGGAAATCGAGATCAATTTACGACACACTGAGAAAAGGGGTAACAGGGTCCATTGAGTAAACAACATTACATGGATAAAATGCTATAAATACGCGTACAAATCTCTGTACAATTGTGCCTTGAACCACTCTCTGGCGAAGAGTTCAAACTTCTGCCCCATAAATGGAAATGAATCACT